ATATATATATATATTATATATATAATAATAACTCGAAAAGTCTAATATATAAAACATGTATACAGCAATTATAGCATCTTCTAGAGTCACGACGAATGGCTCAATCAGAGTTTCCGGTACATCTTGAATGAATCCAATAGTGTCCATGTACAATATCTTTAATCTATTGGGCAAAATGCCTTGATGCGCAGTCGTATCAAGGGTTGCGAATAATTTATCTCTAGGTTGCAGAGAGCTATCATCTGTGAGCGCTTTTATCAAGGAAGTTTTCCCCGCGTTCGTGTAACCGATTACAGCAACCGTGGGGAAGCCATGCTTCTTCCGCTGGTTTCTGATAATTTGTCGATGCTGCTGCAGCTTTTTCAATTCGTACTTCAATTTCTTTTCTTTGCTATCGAGCATCAATTTTGTCTCTTCCGTCACGTTTATTATGCCGCTGTGATTGACGCATGTTTCAAATATTTTTTTCCGAATATATGGTATTTCCGCTAAAGCTACTTGCAGCTTTGCCTCCGCGGTCTTCGCGTGCTCGCGAAATATGTGGACGACTATAGAATAACGATCGTATACTGGTAAACCGAAGATCTTCTCCAATTCCATGATTTGGTTGAATTTCAATAGGTTAGTACTAACAAATATAGCAGTGGGATTTTCGGATTTGTATAATTCCTTTTTTAAATTTTCTAATGCGCCGGAACCAAGCAATTGTTTCTTCCTCAATGAAAGCAAGGGGGCGTACTTTGCACCAACTACGCACCAGTTGGGTAAGGTGTTTATTAGTGCTACAGATTCTGCCATTTGTAGCTCTGGCGAAGTGTTCCTCTTTTTATCTCTACCCCATTTTATATATGGTTGTAAAATAAATGTCCTGTGTCCACCGACTGCAATGCCTAAAAAACGACTGGCGATCTCGGTATATGCTCGCTGTTCCTTTTCATCTCTTACAAATAATTCCTCTGAATTATGATTTAAACGACAAATAATATTTTGTAGCATCCCTGTGGTCTTATTGATTGTATCGACTTTGTTATATACTTGCAGCTTTCGCTGCGCAATACTTAAAATCTTGTGTATGCAATGCATTTTACAAAAATACTGCCAGTATTTCGATTATTTAATATAACAATTGTTAACTATATAAATTGGATACAATATTCAATATTATTACAGTTTTCTTATACACACATCATTATTCCTCTTTTTGCTTTAATTAGCCGTAGAAAAATATATAATAATTACATATATAAGAGAACAGTGTAGTTTGGGTGTATTTAAAAAGTTATAAACAATAGTAAATCACACACTGCGATATTCTTTTAGTTTTCTTATGCACATATAAACTTATTTCATCTTCTCTTCGCTTTGACATTCCACTTGACTTTAATTAATCACAGGAAAATATATAACAATTATATACACAAGAGCAGCAATTAGTAGATTTAGCACTTAAAAAATTATAAATGAGAAAGCGCACACTGCCATTCATCATTTTTTTATTAGTCTTTATAAAAGTTGCTCACTTATTCGAGGTTATGTTAGCCGTTCTAACCTCATCTCTAGTAAAGGCACGTCTATTAATGTCTACCACCGACCTTTGCGCGTGATCTAATCTTGTTCATCAGGATCATTTAATCGTATAATGCTGACACACATTACACATGAAACATATCACGTCGTTACATTTGTATGAATTTTTTGGTTAGAAAAAACGATTAACGCGTACCATGCTCTCCGATCAGCTGATTTCACGAATGCTCGAAACTTGAGATCGGAGACACGCGACACATGACACATGTGAATAGATTGTTAAAAAAAAGAACTACACGTATTTCTAAGAAATTATCACAGTTATTTTGACCGGCGTATTGTTAAATTATACTTATCTTAAATTTGTGTAACTCTAACTAATTTATATAAAACATTAGACTTTATATAAAAATTATTTAAATGTTCGAATTTTGTATCCATTCTATTTATTTGCATAATCTTAAATACTAAAAAATTTCTACTTGGAAACGTTTAAATGATGATCTTGTATCGTTGATAAAAACATCAAGTTTTCCTGCTTGATATTTGCATTGATTATCTGTGAATTATCGGATAAAACGCGAATTTTTTTATTAAGAAAGATCTTGATATTTCATTCATTTATGCGAGAAACACGGATGAGTTTTTTTTCTTTCAGTATCAATTCTGCTAATACATAATTCACGCAGGAATGTATACCACGTGACAGCCACTTATCGGAGCAGTATCGGCTGTCAGGCGCCTCCGCTTCGAGTCGTACTGACCGCAGTGTCGCGAGTTCAACGGATGCGGCTGCGTCGCGACGGAAATGGAACCGGGAACACTGACGAGGGTGCTGCACGACTTCCTCACTACCGTTGATGGAGAGCTGAGTCTTCCCAAGGGACATTATTTCCTGGTACTCGCGAATATTTGACGCCTAACCTAACGAGCAGTCAAGTGTAAACAGCTGCCAGTAGACTGGCCTGTTATCCTCGTTTCAGATTCATGAGATCATAGACAAGCACTGGTGCCGTGGTCAGTCTCAAGACAAAATCGGCAAATTTCCTCTAAGTCATCTGCATAAAGTAGATATCCCTCAGCTTGGTGAAACGGAAAGACTGTTTGTCTCGATAGCCAGCTTCCCTGGAGAGGAAACTGGAGATCTGTCTTTTGCGCAAGGTAAGATTATTAATAAACACAAAGTATCTTTGTCGAGCCTACAACTCTTTGAAGATTTTGGAATTAATTGTCTTAATAAAGTATAAAGACGAGTAGTTTTTAACTTTCAATATTGTGACAATGACAATTTGAAATACAAATTTTGTTGCTACTAGGAGAACTTATAATTGGAACGAGGGACATAGGTTCAGGATGGTGCATGGGCAGGACAAGTTCCAAAAATGGAATTTTTCCAATGACACATACTTGGGAACTGGATATATCAATAATAAAGGTAGAATTTTAAAAGAGATTATGTCTTACTTACATATTAGTTGAATGAAATTGACAATTAATGGAAATTCTTCTTATAGAAAACAATAAAAAAGAAATCAATAAGAAAGAGAGCCAAGGTGAAAACAACATTAAAGGCACAACTTGATGAAGAATTGGACTTAAATGCGGGAGAGATCGTTGTTGTTATAGAAATTTTAGATGATGGATGGTGTCGTGGAATTACGGAAGATGGTAGAGAAGGCATATTTCCAGAGGGATTTATATCCTACTTAGATACGGACCAAGATATGATTGATCAGGGAGAAATGACAACCGCGAGCAATCTTTCGTCTTTTTCGACGGTCAATAGCACAATTTACAAGGATTTTGGTCAAACTTCTATAAACCATTATGTAAACTTGCCTGATGAACCTGCTCCAAATTATTTTGATTTATTTCCTGAGGTAATGCCGATAACTCATGATACAACTAATGATACAAGAAATATACAATATAATAATCATGAAAATTCTATTGATATTAAGCCATATGCTATAACATTATATCCATTTAATGCACAATTTCCAAATGAACTGAGCTTTGGAGCAGGCGAGGTGGTGCATCTCACAAGACATATCGATTCCGAATGGATGGAGGGTATTATCGATACCACTAAAGGCATTTTTCCATCATCTTATGTCAATATTATAGTTGATTGTGCAGAAGTCAAACAGCATCAAATCCAACCTGAAATAATTTCTGCAAAAAAAGATGCTCTGGAACCGGGTGCTACTGTAAGAGTGCTATTTACTTTTAACGCACAAATGGATGGTGATCTGAATGTCCACGAGGGTGAGGTCGTTACTGTATTAGAAATGGCTAATGACGATTGGGTGAAAGTGAAAAATAAGAATGATCTAATCGGTTTGTGTCCGCGGGAATATTTGAGTTCCGTATCTGAATATTCGTTGAACAGTTTAGAAAAATCAAATTTGGAAGATTTTGAAGATTTTGTGATGATTCGACATAAAGAAGGGAATGCTGTCACAAATGAGGAACAAACTCCGAAGAGATTATCTCAACCGCACAGGCCAGCACCACCAGCTCCAGCTCCAGGCAGAACGCCATTACAAAAGGAAACTCTTATTAATGGAGAAGTATCTGCTCAAAATGATCGAACTCAGGAAAATAAATCTGTAATTAATAATATTGTAGATATGAAACAAAAGCGTATAGATCAACGACAAAATGTAATATCGGAATTAGTTATAACAGAAAAGGAATACGTTCGTGATTTAAAGTTAACATATGAAACATTTAACTTACACGATCCGAGTTTTCTTGAATCGAAGAAGATTGATGTCGCTACATTATTTGGGAATATTTTAGAAGTTATTCACGTTGCTGAAGAATTATTGGATATGATTTTAAAAGCTATGAAAGGTTGCGATGAAAACTTACAAACAATTGGACCTTGTTTCGTGAAAATGGCCGACAAAATGAAAAATATTTATGTCAAATATTGTGGAAATCATGAGGCTGCGTTAGCTTTGTTAAACAAGGTATTTTATGGTATTACATAATAGAAACAAAATTTTGAATTGAAAAGAATTATAATAAAAGACGCTTTTTAGCGATTTAAAATTACGTAATTGGGTTATCTATTTGTGTTTTAGTATGAAAGTAATGAAGAAATTATGAGAGTATTTAACAAAGGTATTGAAACATTACGTCGTCAGATTGCTTGTTTTGATATGAGCTCTATTCTAATAAAACCAGTTCAAAGAATTTTAAAGTATCCATTAATATTGTATGAATTAGTAAAGGTAAGCAATTACATTAGTTGTATAAAATATAAAGAATTATCATATAAAGAATTATATGAATAATTTATTTTAAGAATATTGAAAGAAATATATTTTAATAAAATTCTAATAAATTAAATATATTTTATATATATATATATATATATATTAGCAACATTTGTGAAATTGAATTTAATTAAATTGAATTAATTAAATAGTTATTTCTTAAATAAATGTTTACACCCCCCCTCACACACACACACGTACACGCATGCACACCATTCAATGTTATCTCTTGTAATATTTTTTTGGAAAAAAATTTTTAGTGTACAGAAGACAATCATCCAGATAAAGCAGCCATAGAGGAGGCATGGAAAGTTATGACAAATGTAGCCAGTTACATCAATGAATATAAACGGAGAAGAGATATTGTATCCAAATATTTAGATAGTGATAATACTTTATTAAGCAAAATGTCAAAATTAAATATGCATTCTGTGGCAAAGATGTCAACGAGGCTAAGTACGAGATTGTCGGCTAGTCTAGGATTGACAAATATCACGAGCGACACCGAGTTTGAGGAACTTGAAAAACAATTTCGATCTATAGAGAAATGTACATGGCAATTGGTGAAAGATATTGAACAATGTATTACATATTTGAGTGACGAAGCTATGTCCGGTGAAGCTATAGCCGAATTGCTGGTTCATTATTATCAGGAAAGTCCGACTGGCGAAGTGAAAAAGTTAAAAGATATAAGATCTACGATTTGGTCTCAATATATGCAGGATTTTAAATTGTGTATCGAAAAGAGAGTCAGTGCACCATTACATTCCTTAGCTATGATGTTGGAAGGACCGGCAGTATTGGTAGCAAAAAGGCACGATAAGTTGCTGGATTACGATGCTGCTATTTCAAAGAGTGAAAAATATAAGGAATCAAAAATTGTAATTATATTATTTAACATTTATTTGTTGTATGCATATTATCTTTTTTATGATTTTTCCTGATTCGTGACATTATTTTGTTTCAGGTACAAGAAGAATTATTTACCGCTAAAAGTAATTATGAAGCTCTTAATCAGCAATTGCTGGAGGAATTACCTATATTTCTGGATGCAGCAGCGAATATTTTAGTTACTTGTATAAATGCATTCGCAAGTGCTCGAAAATTATTAAGCGGAAGAATTACCAAACAATATCTAACTCTTTGCGAGGTATTTGGATATAAGTTTAATGAAAAACTTTCAGTTTGATAAAATTTGAGAAATAAACGTAATTCTCTTCTTCAGACATCACCGCATCTATCGTCGCAAGATGTATTAGAGTCATTTCTCGTGAATCATAATTTAGTTTGGAATCAAATAAAACGTTTCGCATTTGCTGACACGAATTTCTCGATAGACGAGAGTCAGTCACAATCGTGTAAGCAGACCGAAGAGCAAAGATCCTTGCTCAGAGAGAAATACACTGTGGATAAATTGTATGTAGTAGTTGAAGACGTTGCTAGTTCATCTATATTGGATGTGGGTGCTGCAAGAGGTACGTTAGTTGGAGCCATAAAAAAACAGGATCCAATGGGAGATACAGCGAGATGGTATGTCGATACTGGAGTTACTCAAGGATTTTTGCCTTCTCAAAAATTGAGACCAGTTCAGCGACAAAATCAACATTGTGATCAAATCGCATCAGATATCTCGGCAGTTACCGAGAAAAAGAGATCCAGTCCTCCGAATTTAATGTCACTAGATTCTCCAGAAAAAGAGATCAAAAAGGAATCTACATCGCATTTGCAAGATTTGCTTTTGTTAGATCAAGAAATGAAAATAAGTCACAATTATAGCAACATTTCTGACATGAAAATAAATCACAATTATAGCAACATTTCTGACATGAAAATAAATCACAATTATAGCAACATTTCTGAAACGCCGAGAGTTCAAGTGTATCAAAATATACACAGCGAAGTTAGTATTGTAATAGTTTTGGTTATGCTCTAATTCTAATCTTTATTAATGTAATTCGATTTTTAGTTTTACTATGCGATGTACGATTTTGCTGGAAACATACCGGGTACATTGCCTATTACTAATGGTCAAGCCCTGAGACTCCTCAGACCTCATGACGAAAAGGGAAACGATGAATGGTGGCTTGTAGAAAATCGTAATGGCAAACAAGGTTATGTTCCACGGAATTATTTAAGTTCACTCATTAAACCAAAGTCATAACGACGAAATAAAGTCATAATAAAGCACAGGTTTTATATTTATAATGTTAAGACTCTATTAAGATCAATAATTTGGTGATTAACGCCATATTAAAATCAATAATGATCAATAATGATAATCAACCTCATCGCGGAATTATTGATTAAATTATTAATTATTGATTAAATATTGATTAATAATTAACAATCATTTGTCAATATTTGAATTCTCTTATGATTATCTCATAAAAAATATCTGTAGCAATCTTATATCAATGAAGAATACTTATAGAATCTTTTTACCTGGTCTGATTAAACCTAAAGATTTAGAAAAAAATAATCAATTAATGTAAATTTATATTACGAATATAAATATTATATTTATATATATTTATATTATACTCGAAAATAATTTGTTTTTAACTTCTCTGCTAGTACTTAGGCTTATATATATACTTGATTTAACTATTCTTTAAAATATTTTACATATGTACTGTATCATTGTTGAATTATTATATGCATGTATAAATGTACAAAGCGCTTTATCTGAAATGATATATTTTCTCTGTGATGATCGAGTCGTCATTTTTAACATTATACAGAATTAATAATTGATATTGATAATTGATATTATAGCAGATATTGATATTATAGCAGAAAATTGCACGTATTTTTCCTAACAAGATAGTATTCCGATAAATAATTTTTGTTACAGTGAGTAATACGTGAGTAATATAGTAAGTTTATTAATTACACATACACACATACACAGAGTGTCCAACAGAATGTCCATAACTATATCACTTTTTGTAATAGATATGTAGATAGATTGGATTAAATTCAGCAGAAAAATCTTGTGTCATTTTGTGAACTTTAAAATAATTAATAGGATATTAATTTATAAAAATCCGCGAATAGGCATCCGCGTGAAACAAATAGTTCAATTTTACGCTTATAATTATTAAATGCGCGGCAAGATGTTTGAAGATGTGCACTATAAACGGATGTTTTCTTTTTTTGTACATCACTTTCAAATATCTTATGCGAAACATTGTCGCTTCGCGCGAATGCTCTTTTTGGTAGATTTATATAAATTAATAACTTTTTAAATATTGCAAAAAGAATGGTAACAAGATTTTTCTATTTAATATAATCCGCTCTACTTGCTACTCAAGAAGCGATACTGTTATTATCGGACACCGTAACTATACATTTATAAAATACCTTTTTATTTATATAACTTCATTAGATTCTGAATATCAATTATGATAATTAATTTTTTACGTGCAATTTTTAATGTATATTTGTATATAGTGTTAAATTTTTTGAAAATTGTATATTATTTTAAATATACTTAAGGGAATACTTAAGGGAGATAAAAAGATATTAATAAAAATGTTGAAATTGATAAATTCTTTCTTATTTTAGATCGATTCTTACTTTAATTTTAGTTAGAAATTTATTAAATTTTTTTTCGATAATTTATATAAAATAATTTTTATTATTTAAAGAAGAATATATATCATACATATCATCGATTTCATCTCGTTGTTATTTTAAAATAAATTTAGTAAGCGGGATATCTTGAATACACTAATGTCCACTTTGATCAAATATTGCAAAGAGAATGTCATATTTATGTCATTTTGTTTATTGATAAAATATATAATATTTGGAATGTCATTTGATTTTTTTTTATAATTAACATTTTTATTATTATATTTATAATTGTTCGAATGTAATAATTTAAATGAACATATATAAGAAATTTAAAATATAACTTAATATGCATATTATAAAGTATATTGTTGTGAAAAAGATTAAGGAAAATAAAACATTATTTAAAAAAAGGAAAATCAAACATTGGTTATATTATCACCGTAATATAATAATGTGTTTTTAGTGTTACATTTGATGATAGGTACAATAATAATGTTATATGATGCATGTATTACGGTTTTTAAACCATCTCTTAAATGTGCATACAATAAAAAAAAGAAGGTATATTGGTATACCGTTTAAAATAAACAGTCTTTCTGAGGTACAGCGACTTGCGACTATATTGCGACCGATGCGATCATTGTTTCGCAAGCTTATATGATTGGATTTAGACTAAAGATTTACTCTAAGCAAAAAGTGAATATAAGTGATCTAAACGACGATAAACGACGTTCAACGAGATATTCCGGACATGAACGTACACACTCAATAAAATATTATGTTCTTATTATGTCATGTTAATGATAAGATTTGGATCCGCGATGTCGCGCTTTGGTTTCGCAAAACCAGATTTCGCAAACCATCGGCAGATGTGACGGCAATGTCCGATCGACATGGAAATCATTCGTCATCTAATACGACCGCTCGTTTTCTTTGACACTGAAATGCAATCCGAATGTAACTTACTTAACTGTGATTATGCTTTACAATCTTAATGTATCGGATAAAATCTTAACGAAGTAATGTATTTCTTACGTATATTCGCACGATATCATAAAATGACGTATTAACAATACAATACAATGAAGCGACAGATGAGTTTAAAAAGGCCTTGGAAGAAAGTCTAAGCAAGATATCATCAGGTATGACCAAAGTAAACCATGTAAGTTTACTCAGCCTCATCTCTAATCCAGGAAATGATTGAGAACATCAAATATACTAATATATCTCACTAAAATGTTTTGCAAGTATGGTATCCGATTCTTTTATATCAGACGCTTGAAGAAGCATCGCTAATTAGAACTATAAAGGAATATATCATAATCATTTTTAAGTCATAACTGGAATATAATTTTTAAGTCATAACTGAAATCAGAACAGAATCTGAATCCATTTATGAAGCGATTATTTCCTCTATATACTCTTGCAAAAAAATAGTTTTGCAGACACTTGTCATGTTTTTATCTTGCTATAGCAATTATGTCTCACTTTACAGTACAATTATGTCTCACTTTACAGTACTGTATTACAGTATCCTTACTCCACGTCCTTATCTTAAACTTATTCTAGACGTACAGGCATTCGGTTGATTACTTTTTATCCTGAATTGACATTAAATATACACGTTTGATCATGCGCTGCAATATCATTGCAGAAAGCATGAAGTGTGCGCGTATATATCGGACTTGTTTTGGATTCTGCAGTGGTACTTTTTGTACCGCATTAGCGGTATCTTCGCGTTCTCATATCTTTTAATTATCGAGGAACATTTATAACAATTATATAGCAATGATGTTTTAACAATTGCAGGAGATATTCATTTATCGCCACTATTATCGCGAATAACGTTACTCGATAATTAAAACAAGTAGCGACGAACTCCGCTATTATCATAAACAGTACCGCTTAAAATAAACGCATATTCAACAAGATCGTATTTTCATCGCGCAATTAGCACAATTCACTGTGCTGATTCCTATTCGTGTTGAATTTATTACTGTATCACAAATCGATCTGTATTCTCGTCATTCGTATACATTCAACGCTTTCTGTTTTACGATGACTTACAACACATGTGATGTAATTAAACAAAGGCTATTCTAAATCAAAATTTCATTTGAATTACATTCCAAATATTCGAGGAATACAGACTTTCTTTCAAATGCGTTCTGTTCGAACACGCAACAGCGATATCAATGCATGAAGCACTTTATAGAAAACCTTCGATATTTCCTTATCTCTTCAGCAAAAATATTAGCTTTAATCCTTTTCGTGTTGTTGATATTTCTATAAGTATCAGCGACTTTAAATAGCCATTATTAACTATAATGTAACTATAATTAAATAGTATAATTAATACGATTATTCAAAGTCATTTCGTTCCTTTAATCCTTCCATCACTGTTTCTTCGATTTCAACTTTAAGTATTCATATTAACCGTAGTATAAATATTAAAGACAGTATAATTAATACGACTATTTTGTAGCTGCCAGTACTCATTAATTTTTAAAAATATCAACATACACCGACGAGAATCGAAATTATCTTATTATCGTGCGCGCTTTGATCCGGTAGCACGCATATACGAAAGGATGTGCAATTGTATTGCTTTGTGTCTCTATATTCACCATTCAGCATATTTCCTTTGAAAACAAAATAATAATCTCGTTTATTAATACTCCTAACTCCACTAACTGTGCTCGGCACAGCATCTTAATGTTATCTTGGATCTCATTTTGTATCAAGAAACGACAAATACTAGACATTGATTTGAAGGAAAGTGGAGAACGTCGTTTCTTATATAACATAAACACATCTTTCTATCGCCACCGGCAGCTTTACGCCGTCTTTTTTATGTTATCTAAACTGTTATCTCGATTTGACTTATGATTATCTCTGTCTATTTGCAAGAGTTAATTACTCATGATTTAAAAAAAAAGATATTAATCATTAAATGATACGCAAAAATTATATTCTGTTTCTATTTTATCAACGGAAAAAAATCTCTTTGAAAAAGATTTTACTTATTATACGAGGAGTATCTTCTTTCAAAGATAAGTTTCTCAACATTAAAAAAAAATCAATATAAAATAAAATATCCGACGAAGTCAAATTGGTCAACAAATTTAATCACAAGATTTTATCAAATCAGGTTAATACTTGATTAATCATAGACCGAGACATCATTTTTTTTCTCTCATTCGTGATAAGATATACCGTAGAATTTTATACGACTCTTATAAGATCCTTTTGAGTTAATGTTTTACTCTACGAAAGATCATATCCCTGCATTCACAAACTATCGCTCTAGCACCTTTCGTCAACGGCTTATCTAAATTCGGCCCTCTGAGTCTGAAACAACTACTTTTGAACTTGACAGTCCCCTTCAACTCTATCAAGATTCAAATTTCTATCAAGCACATTGCGTTCTATCAAGCAAAATTCTCATTCTGATTCGAGCCGGCTTTTTCGGTCATCATCGTCGAATCTGTCGCCTGATCCGCGATCGCGGAGAAATCTCTCAGCGGCTAATTCTCTAGTCAGCAGGATAGAAGCGAAGAATTGCGCGGCCCTGGATCTCCGAATGGCAAAGCTTTTTGACGACATCCAGGGCCTGCTCGGCGGGATATACGGTATGTGGAGGTGGTTCGATGTCACCGGAAGCGACTAGTTGCACCAATTCGCGTAATTGCTCCAGCGTGCCTGGTTCTACCGGTTTGATGGAGTGCTGCCGTTCTTCGGCTCGTCGGCTGAACTTGGGTAACAGCCGATCGGCGACCTCCTTGATCACAAATACTACGCCGCCCTTGTTTAAGCACTGCATGCTACGATGGAGATTGCGCGATGTTGTACCAAAGTCGATCACCACATCTACCTGGCCACCGCAGGCGTCCATTGTGCGTTCGATCAGTTGTTTCTCATATAGATCCTCGTTCCACTGTACCACGCTCACTCTGTAACCAACATGCCAACTGTTGCTGAGATAAATCGAATGGGACAACAAACCATCAAATGGGGCTTTCGAAGCCTCAAGTTTGAATACGTACTTTAAGAAAGTATTTAAAAAGATATTTTATTAATCCTTTTCCCTTTATATATTTCTCTTTTATATATTTGTTTAAATCAGACGGCAAAAGAAGGAGCCAATAATATTTTTATATAGAAGCTATGTAATATTTTATGCAAAAGCTATTCAATTTCAGATAAAAATTCCCATGTAATAGAAAAATTCAGATAGATTCTTTACGAGTCGACTCAAGTTCATTTGTGATTACATTGTGTGTCAAAATTATGTTTACTAGTTGACTAATAAACATTTTACATTATTAATCTAAAATTTAATTGAATAAAGCTTACCGTTGGAATTCCTGAGCTATAAGAAGACCCTCATCTTTAAGAGTAGCTATCGTAGTAGTCACTCTATCTCTCATGTTACTAAAGTGATACGAAGCAATTCTGAGTGCCCACAATGCCAGACCACCTGTGCCAACTACCAGAATCTTGCAGACGCTGTTTTCACCTCTCTCCTTCAGTAATGCCTGCAATATTTTATTTTATTTTGAAGAAAGTTTTAAAGAGCAACATTACTATTTTCCTAAAATATTAATTTCTCATCTCATCATTAAACATATCTTTACTGCATATTTACTAATCGTTTTAAATAATGGAATAATAAGTTCGGCATTCTAAAGAGAAACAGGATCGAATTTGTGTCTAATAATTTTTCTTTGTTGAGCTTATATTCTTATAAATTCAGAAACAGTTATTTATGTCGCGCCGATCGATTTACTCTAACAAAACTCGAATGCAATATGGAAGATTATCCGCTACTCCGCATACCTGCACGTGTTCGTGTGCGGCGAAGACGGTATTCATGGCAAGAAGCGCGCCAGCCGGTAGCATGGCTGCCACGCTAAGTGACATGTTGTCCGGGAGCTTGATCAGGTACTTGAGATCATGGACAACCAGGTATTCGACGTAGCCGTTGGGGATGCCATCGTAGGGATAAAGAATAACGCGATCGCCCACGGCGAGTTCGCAGTCCTCGGGCACCTCGGTGCCAAACGACTCGATTATGCCGGCTACCTCGTAACCGGGGAATAGAGCGGCGTCGCGTACTCCGTGATGCGGCATAGACACCGGATAGGGATCACTCTCCACGGATATGTCGGCGGCCAGGCTGCTGCCACTCGAGACCGAGGTCAAGCTGGTCAGACTCGGCGATCGTCGGGGATGGTAACAAGCACCGGCGCACACCACCCGGATACGGGCACCGTGAGCCGGCACATCCGGCACGGGCACGTCGAAGCTGAAGACACATTCCCGGCCGCTTACGCTCGGGCTCTCGATCGAGAGTTGACGACAAAGTTTATTCATCTTCTCTCTGAAACGCAGAATTAATAACATTTACAAGCTTTTACGATGATTGTCTTTTTTGATGGGACCTCCTGTCTCTTAGTATTTTCTTATATTATTTGTTACTTGGTTATGTACTGCTGTTATGCAATGTCATGTGGAAAAATGATGAATCTCTGTCATCTTAATTAAAAAAAAAGATGTAGACAGCTATTATAATTATATTCTTTAAACAAATTAATCTCTCTTTTAATAAAGAATTTTCTTTTTTAATCATATTAGATTGAGCGAATTCATTGGGTGAATTTTAATTATAATATAATTTGAATGAATTTAATTATAATATAATTTAATTTAATTATGATATAATTTGAATTTGAATTTCAATTTTAATATAAATAAAATTCACTCAATGTTAATGTAATTTTTAATTTTTATTTCAAGATAAATGATATCTATACTAAATGTTCGTTCGACGAGTAAAATATACACGTTGAATTATAAGATGTAATAATATTTTGTAATTATATTTTGTACATAAGA